AATATCTTACGGGTTAAGAGCACGCAATAATTAACTGAGGCCTAGTTCGTTTACGATGATTAGCATAAAACGAACATCTCTCTCTGGGATCCTGTTCAATACATAAATGTACTAGTGCAACTAATCGGTCAAGACAAACCGTACGGTTGACACTACAACCGTTCCGATGGGTTGTTCAATTCCATCTAGGTTGTGAACCAATGATTCTTGTTTCGCAAGTAACTGATATAATGATCTTCGGTGCGCCCGATGACGACCCACTTATCTACATGCAAAACAACAGAACGTGGAACTTATTTAACCAAACATAATTCTCATTCATCAAGAAATAACAAGTGTAATATCCACTAAAGCAAAGCTTAAGTATATAACACCAACATGGATATCAACCACTGAAATTCCAACAGTTCGATGGTAAAGGCAGTCCAAAACAGCACATAGCTCACTTCATTGAGACTTGCAATGATGCTGGAACATATGGAGATCGTCTAGTGAAGCAGTTTGTTCGATCATTGAAGGGAAATGCATTTGAGTGGTACACCGACTTGGAGGCAAATTCTATTGATTGTTGGGCGCAACTAGAGCAAGTGTTTCCCAATCGTTTCTACAGCACACGAAGGACGGTCAGCATGATTGAGCTCACCCATACAAAGCAGTGGGATGAAGAGCCTGTTATTGACTACATCAACCGATGGAGAAATCTAAGCCTCAATTGCAAGGATCGACTGTCTGAAGCTTCAGCTATTGAAATGTGCAATCAAGGGATGCACTGGGGTCTCCGATAAATTCTGCAAGGAATCTAACCGAAGTCGTTTGAAGAACTAGACACTCATGCACATGATATGGAGTTAAGCATGTCTGCAAGCGGGGTCTAGAATCCACCTGTGCATGAGCCTCAAAGATTCAAGGACCGAAATGAAGCCAAGAAAGGGGGCAAGTTTTCCTCTAGAGCACCTAACAAAGAGATAAAGGAAGCAATGGCAGTCAATGCAAGACCCATCAAACTCAAGGGAAACACAAGCGAAAAAGCTGTGGAAAAGAAAGAAGTCCCTCAAGACAGGGGGCAAAGAAAATTAACCTTGAAGGAGAAGCAAGCCAAACAATATCCTTTCCTTGACTCTGATGTTTCTGAAATTTTTGACGACTTGATTCGGGAACAACTTATTGAGCTTCCGGAGATGAAACGACCTGAAGAAGCAGGACAAGTTGACAACCCAAAATACTGCAAGTATCATCGTCTGGAGAGTCACTCCATCGAAGATTGCTTTGTCTTCAAAGATAGAGCTATGCAGCTGGCACGACAAGGCAAGATATCGCTTGAAGAAGACAAAGGGACTACGAACTTTGCTTCAATTGTGACTTGCGAGGAAGGATATGAAAGTTTTGTTTGTAATGTGACGATCGAGAAAGATGATGTGCCAAGTGATGAGGAGTCAACTGATGAAAAAGAGCAATGTGACCATGAAGACAATGATACAACAGTCACCTTTACAGATGAAGACTTGATGTTGGGCTCAAAACCCCATAACAGGCCTTTATTCATAACTGGTTACACTCGCGAGAAAAAGGTGAATCGCATATTGATAGATGGAGGTTTTGTTGTGAACATTTTGTCTCTACGTACTTTAAAAGAGCTAGATGTCCCGATGGATGAACTCTCAAATAGTCGATTGATGATTCAAGGGTTTAACCAAGGGGGGCAACGATCTCTAGGCATAATTAGATTGAAGTTAGTAATCGGAGAGATGACTTCAAATGCTCTTTTCCATGTGATAGATGCCTTATAACATATTATTGGGACGACCTTGGTTGCATGAGTATGGAGTGGTGCCTTCTACTTTGCATCAATGTTTCAAATACTGCCAAGATGGTGTAGTAAGAAAGGTTCTTGGAGACGATAAGCCTTTTACTGAAGCTGAGTCTTATTTTGCTGATGCTAAGTATTATTTTGAAGAGGTTAAGGCTGTTAGCACTAAAGACGTCCCCATCAAACAACCAAATGGAGCCAAAGAGAAGAAAGCCAAGAATCTTGCTGGGAATGACACTCTTGATGGGCTGGTGTTGCCGTTAC